TTCCATGAACTTATCCAAACACTTTCTGGCCCAAGAAAATGTCAGCATTTATGGCAGTCCCCTGCACAAAATGCTTCTAATTCCTGAAAAGTCAGGGTTTTTTAAAAGATATTTATTTTTACTGTATGCCCCCTAGTTGCTGAGAAACAGATTGTGGCCAACAAACTAACAACCATTCTATAACACTCATAACCACTTCTACTTGCAATCTATCATCAAAACAAATTATTTGCAAGCCAAAAGCAAGGCAAAGTCTATAATGAAAAGAATTAATTTTTCCTCCAAGTTTAAGAGAGAAACATTCCCAACAGTATCCCCCCATCACTCCTTCAAACCTGTAACAAACTAAAACAAGGAACATACAGGTAAGTATTTCAGCTATTGAGTCTTGCTACACTTTGGAAATGCTGAAATACAGCATAACTGTATATACACTCTGAACATGATCTCATTTTGTTCACAATATCAATAATTTACATATGTTATCTGAGGATACATTTCTTTTTTAAAGAACATCCTGTATAAAATTCCTTCAATGAGTCTGCTCCATCATCCCCAGCAGAAAGGGAAGTGGGGAGGCATACAAGTAAAATCTGAAATTTTTTCTAACACCTAAATAAAGAATATTAGAAAATATGCTTCCATAATGTCTCTAAATATTTTGGGGAAAAAGCATTTGTAAAATAGGATAAACTAGGAACTTCAGTGGTGCACCACCAAAGATGTCATGTTATAGGACAGAAAATGTATTAACGGTCATAGTAATCTTTATGCAAACCTAAGTTAGTTGAGAGGCTGTATAATGTGTAAAGCAAAATTGCATATATTTTGTTCTGAGTGTTTATGTTTCTTAATTATTCTTCCTATTTGTTAAAGCATTTGGAAGCAGCATCTACTGGCAATTCTCTCCCAACATATTCTTGTGTGATTCTGAAGTATCAGAAAATATTCAATCTGGTTTTCATGTCGTTCAGAAAACCTGAATAAACTGCACAATTGAGACTTCTATTCCAGACAAGCATTATCAGCCTGTAAGCCCCATAAGATCTCTCAATTGTGGATCTCCCAAAGTTACAAGCCTTCCTATGCTACTCCTTTTTTGACACAACTTTATCTTCCTAAAGAGTTTCTGTGCATATCTACAGGGTTTTCCCATCCAAGTTTCCTTTTCTTTTAGGATACTATGGAGCCACTTACCACCTTGAACAACTGGTTATTTCTAACAAATACATAACATTCAATATGGACTTGCTGTAACTCCTCTTAAGTGCATACATGTCTTAGAAAATACCATTTATCTCAGCATAACAGCTGGTCATTACTGACCAACATCAAGATCATTAGACTGGCAGATCAAAGTTACATTGCTACAGTGAAAAGCTTTTAGTTCACTAAATAGTGAACAGATCGTGTCCATTACTTGCAGTGAACAAGACACTACACAAGGCCAGACAGCTTATTTTCAACACAACAACCAGTGAAAGCTTGAGAAGTCATTGCAGCAGCCAATATTACAAGGGAAAGGAAAGAAGTGTATGTTTCAAGTATTGCACTCCCGACTGTACTGTACTTGATACTGGTTTGCACACACAGATTTGTGTAATGATTATGCTGCTTCACTTCTGCACACAAGCAGAACAGCATGCACCTGAGGAGTTGGAAAGACAGCATAAAACTATTAACATTTTAGATTCAAAGCCTGATGTAAATGCAGATCTAAGTCTACCAGTACAAGACTTCAGATCCAAAAGGCTTAAGACCCTCTGTCAGTCATCACAACCATGGCATAAACCCCAGCCCAATGAAGTAACACATGCTTTATTTATAAAATTGAGTCCCATAGGTGGATCAACAACAACCAAAAAAAGTCATTAAAAGAACCCAGAAAGAATAAACTGTTACTGCAGATCCTATCTCCCTTCACGATCACCCCTCTATCCAAGGAGCACTCCTACAAGGGGTGCCAATTCCTCCAGTCACTTGAACTACACAGGTAAAGAAAGGGGGTGGGTGGATAAACCATACAGAAGGCCCATTAATTCCTACACAGGTAGAAAAGTACCTTCTTCTTCTTTGGAATAATAAATTCATCTGTTCAGAACACATAAATAAAATCACACATATTGGCAAGTCATTTGGTTTTTCACATAAAAAACTTTTTTATAAAGCATTGTTAGCAAAGTTATAAAGAACTTGCAATGGCCAGCACTGAGAAGCACAGTTTATAGAGTTTACTGTCATCTTGAGAGAATGAAGAAATAAGAATGAAATTACCTGTATTGCATCAGGAGAGTTGCAGGTAAATCATCCAATACCCACTTCCACATAAATTATCTACTGCCAAGCTATGGAATTCCTGTTTTCCTTTCAATCAGAAGGCCTCAATCACCAAAAAACTCACACTTGACATATGATTAACATTCTGATTAGCTTCAAGAGACAAAACTTTTGTTTGGGATCCAAACTATTCGTTTTACTGGCAACAAAATATGCTGTCACTTCACAAATTAAGTTGCAGAACAAACAAAAACCCCACAGACCCAGTAAACATCTATCTTCAAAAAATATTCACAACACATTCCTGTATCAATTTTCACTATTGTATAGGTTATGACCTAAAATCCAAGGGTAATGTCCTCCCCCCTCCTACCCTGGGCCTCCAAAGTTATAAAAAAAACAACCAAAAACACCCCTGTGCATAGGCACGGTGCAGCAACTCCGCTGCCTCAGTCCCATGACATTTGCACATGTGTATCAATCAACACGCACATAATCAGGGACAGAACTGCTACTGTACCTCCACAGACACGCAGAAGAAATGGTATGACCATGGACAACAAACAGCAACCACAAACAAAAAGCAGCAGAGTTGGCTAAGAGTGCATCAGTGAGTCTAGAGGCCATATGAGTTCAGAGAAGCACTTAATCAGTCAGACACAACTTTTCAAGTCTCCGGAATACTCTTCCTGTTAGGGTACAGCAGTACCTCGTTTTAAAGTAACAAGCCCATACCTAAAACAAATATTTCAAGGTGTTTTTGTCTGGTGATGAATAACACTAATCAACTTATGTAAAAACATAATGCTATATCACTAAGATGCTAGAGAAAACAGGAGAGACAGCCAATTGCTCTCTGCTATAAACACCCACCCATGTTCACCATGGATTTTAAATTCAGCCATTTCACAAGGTTTAAAATGGTAAGACTTAGAGTAAGTGAAAGAAACAGTAAAACCTCTTCAACTGTTTCCCTTGGTGGTTTTGGGTTTTAATTCTTTCTTAATTATAGTTGTAACAAAAAGAGTGCAAAATACATGCTTATTATAGAGCCAAGAAGTTCCCAAAGAATTGCCCAGGCTCAGGCATACTTCTTGGTTCTGAAATCTGAAAGTAAATGCCTTGCAAACGCCGGCTGCTGTTGCAGCGCAGTTTGACGGAATGCTACTTCAAGACCATAAACATTCATTCAGTACAAAAATCCAAAAAAAATTTTCTGGAAGCAATAAAGTCTGCTAATATTTTTTTACGTTTTTATTATGTACATTTCTGTCCCATAAAAAGATAATGGCTCCTGTGTGGATACCGCACATTCAGTGGATTTTGCAATCTGTTCATAAACTGGTAACGGTCTATGCATGTTTTTTTTTTACTTGCAAAAGTAATTAGTAAAATTATCCTATTACTAAAAGCAAACATTAGTGGCAAGAAATTTATATTGCAACTCCAACACTTGCTCTCTATCCTGAAAAGTTATTCCATTTCCGTTCCTGAGACGAAGCTGGTATTTTCATGTATACTGAAATGACCACACCGCAGACTTATCGATTCCTCGCTCTTCTCCGATATGAAATCTCCAAAGAAGCGAGTCCGAAAGAAAGCGAGAACAGATTCGACCCATCTCTAATTGCATGCCTAGCTAAGTCTTTTACTTATGATTTACCTGAACTCCTTTTCCTCGTCCTGCCCTTGCTCGGGAGGCAGGGCCGCCTCCTAACTCCCTCTTTTCCCTCCAAAGCCAGAGTTCGCTGAGCTGCGGGGAGGTGTCAGTCCTCCCTGCCAGGCCCGGAGGCTCTGGCTGTCGGCAACCCGGACGGGGCCGAGGAACCCCGGAGTCATTGTGCTGCGGGAGCCGACCGCAGCTGTCAAGGCGCAGCGCAGCTCGCCCCGCCGGCGGGGAGGAGGGGGAGGAGGGTCACAGCCCAGCGCCGCGGCAGCGCCCTCCCGCCCGCCCTTGCCCGGCCGCGCTCCGGGCCCCGCACCGCGGCTCCGGGCGAGCGGCCTGCGGGGCCGGGGCCGCTCCGGAGCCGGGCGGGCGCCATGCTACAAACCAAAATGGCTGCCCCGGGGAGGGAGCCCGGCTCGGGCCTCCGCCGGTACCGCCGCTCCGCCCGCCGGACCTCGCCCAGGTACCGTCCCCGGGCCACGACGACCGGTTCGGCCTCGAGGGCCCCGCGGAGCCCGCTCGCCCAGGCAGCGCTGCCCCCGCATGCCGCGCGCGGCCCGGCCCCCGGAGCCAGCCGGGCCAGTCCCAGATCGCCCTGGCACCCCGTACCTGGAGCTCGGCCCGCTCCACCTCCCAGTGCGCCCTCTCCATCTCGAAACGAGCCCACTCGTGCTGGATGTAGTGCAGGATCCCCGGGATGGTGTAGTGCTGGGGCCGGGACAGCTCGGCGGGGCCCGCCGCCTCCTGACCGGCCGGGGCCGCGGGGCCCTGGGGCTGTGGCTGTTGCCCTCCTCCTCCGCCGGCTCCAGCCCCCACGCAGCCCCCACCCGACTGCAGGTTCATGTTCCCACCCGCCTGCGGCGGCGGCTGCTGTGGTCTCGGGGCGGCCGCCATCCCACCGCCTCCTCCGGCTCCTGGGTGCTCGTCCATTGTCTGCGGGGAGCCCTCCTCCTCGTCCCGCGGCGGGGGCCAGGAGCAGGGGCCGGGGAGGGGGCGAGCGGCGCTGGCTGGGGCGGGGAGGAGGGGGCGGG